TGCCACTTCCAGTCTCCACGGCACTCTACCAATGCAAAACAGTGTCGAAAAGCTTTTCCACCTTTGCGTTGACGTTCAGGGTCAAGAGGTGATCCATCTTCCTTTACTGAAGGCCAGCGCCCAACATACGCAGCCTCATCAGCTCGGAGCAGGTACGAGTGTCAGGGAACCCAGTTCAAAATACTGGATGGCATTGCAGCTGTTGGACCCAGATATCGATATACTAGCTAACATTATCTTTAGTTGGAACAAGCTTGGATTCAGGGTATCTAGTTGTAGATTCAAAATGCTCCAAGTCACATTAAGAGACCATGCAGTCACACGTAGTACTGGATCCAAAGTACGTGTACCCAGTGACAGTTCGTGGCGCAGCGAAAAGAAGACAAATCTCGATAGGTCAGAACCTGTAGCCAGGCCATGGGTAGTCCATGTAAACTATGTTTGATGATTGAGGGACAGGGTTATGTCAATATATATATATATATAGATATATATATATGATTGTGGAACATATATATCCTCGCTGGGTATATATATATAATATCTTAAACTTTAAAAAAACTGATGGCCGAATTATCATCAAAGAAACTCTCAACATGCTGGAGGACCAGGCTGATCATCATTACAATAAGTTTTGATCCTGCCAGTGTGTATCGAGCGTCATCACCCGAAAATCCAATTGGATGGTGTTGCTTCTCTTGGCATGCTGGGTGTTCATCCGGTTGAAATTGTTGCCAATGGGACCAAAACTCTGAGATATCTTCAGGTTTCCAAGTGATCTTCTCGGTCTCCTTGTGCGCTGGCTGAGGATCATATGCGATGAGGCATGCAACACTGAGGTACCCAAGTCTGTTGGTGGGGAATGGTGCAGCAAGGATAGTGATCACTTAAGGCAACCCGTTTGGTAGAAATTGTTATAATAGGTGTTTGTTATGTTTTGTAGGTGTCTGTAGGTGTATAATATTTATCAGCAATTAATGACCTCAGGCAATCCGAATCCAAGCATCCATCAAATAACATAAGAGCTCATGAGGCAGTACCATCGGCACCCTCATAGTCGATGTAGCCTTCTTATCATCTGAAGACAAATCTTTGATCGGGATCTCAACGAAGTACATTGACTCAGTGGGCCAATGGGTCACAACGAGACACAATTCCACTTCGGCAAGGGCTGCAGTGAGTGTGAAAAGGAAAATGCGAACAAAATGAAGAAGGTCTGGAATGAGCACAAAAGTACCACAGCAGCCTTCGATTGAACAAGCTAGACAGCGGTCTTCGGATCATGCGAATACCGCCTATACTGGCAGCCGAGTGGCAAGTGGCAGCTGAAGCGCTCTCACCAAATCCCTATCACAGTTGGCAGGGTGCCTCCCACTGGTTCCAATGCGCGCGATCTTCTTTGTCAGCTCGCTGCAATGGCCACCGCTTTCCTTATCGCAATCATGATCTAGCATCAGCACCATAAAGGTAAATAATTTAAAAGACTGAATTGGTATCAACGATATATGATAATATATATATATGTATATGGATTCCGATGAAGTGCAAAATATATCTAAGATTATCGATTAAACTAGTATTAGTAACAAATTCATCGGTGGTGTGGGTTTGGAGCAATGTAAGATATCGATATAGATAGATATATATATATGAAGAAATTATAATATATTATATTATATATCGATCGATATAAATATTATATTTTGTAATGTTATACATGTTGAACCTATGTGTTCTGAGCATGAAATATTCTCATCAGCACAGCAATGCCAAACCCATTGTGGTGTTTGTTAAATAACTAATAACTAATATAAACCATATAAACCAATCCCAGGTCTTTTCAATACAAGTTAAAACACTTCATGTGTCAGCACTTTATCACGCATGGGACATGGGGATACTGTTCAGGATCTTAGCTCAGCTCTTTGGCCTCAAAGGCTACACAACCAAGATTCGACAACACATGCTTGAGCAGCTTCCTGAAGACCAGCTGCTGAAGATGCCTGAGACCACATCCCACTATATCATCAGGTTGAAATCATCACAACCTTAATTAGACCGAAACAAATTTATTGTCGTACAGGTCTGGAGTGAAGTAGTTCAGAATCAATGAACCAGTGAAATAAAATAACAGCCATGCCAACCTGTTTTAATTTGAAGTCTACCTCATAGCCAAGCCACTCCTTTGCCCAGTGTCGACAGAAGGTGCTCCGCATAGCTTGTATCTGCGACGGAAGCTGGAAGGCGAGACCAGAAGTACAAGTGGTGGATCTCATATATTGACTGCTGATCAGTGATAGGTTCAAATTAAATTCAAAAGTGACTGCTGATCAGTGATAGGTTCAAATTAAATTCAAAAGTTTTTTTTTCCCATGCGTCTCTTCAGGTTTCACGAGATCTCAGGAAACAGGTGCAAATCGAGCGACCTCCACAAGCTGTCACCACTGCTATGCAATGTCAGTAGACTGCATTGCGCAGTTCCCTTGTCCCGGGGCCGAGGCTAAGAGCTCTTAAACCAGTAAAAAAAAACATTTGGTTCAATGTAGATCGATTTAAATACAATTTGATTAAGTGTTTGAAATTTATGTTGAAAATTGTTATATGGAGATATGTTTCCAACTGGCCTCATCCCAGGTTCCTACCAAGACAGTTATATGTACAGGCCCTGCTCGAAATCTAAGCACCACATCTCTCCACATTCATTTAAACAAAACTCATGGCTGCCAGGCGCAGGGTCAACACCCTAGTCACTTGGAGGGTGCTGCTGATCCCTTTGCCTTGGCCTTAGCCTTTGATTTGGCCTTTGGCATCAAACTTTTGACAGTTGCAGCGGCCGATTTGTAAGACGACACTGCTGCCACAAGTCCTTGGGTCAATTCAACCAGCGTTGTCTCCTCTGATCCACGCGCCATCGCAGCCTGCAACGACAGAGGATAGACATGTAAAACAATAACTTCAGAACATGTGTGGGTTGTTCACTTAAATTGAGGTCACTGAAAGTTGTTTCATTGTTGACTACTAATAATTAGTCAGTACTGTATTTGTGATGATCAGGTTGTCCCATGCCTCCAATTTGCTACGTTCACCCTCAAGTTTCTTAACGTGGGTCTCAACATCGGACAAAGCTGCAGTCTTCATAGCTTCCGGCCTAGGCCAGTTCATCTTTCGGTGGCTGGCGAATGTGAATCATATATCAACATGAGCATGCAGGGGCCCTCAGACCCAGACACACCAGCTTTGGTGAGCACTGGGGCCCAACCTTGGATGACGCAGATTATATGAATATATTCATATATATGTTTATCATTCATTCATGCCAGCCCTCCACATATCAATATCAATACATGTATACAATGATGCAGGTAGGTATGACTCTAATTCTTCCAAGAAGCTTTTTCCTTCGAGAATCATGGCAGACGCTTGCTGCATAGCCTCAGATGCTTCGAGCAGTGGTATGTTTGAAATCACATCTGTAATTCCTGTGTCGCAACTGTTCTCCACACCCAGCATTAACATGATCCCAAGTAACTCCTTTGGCTTGCTGTTCTGCCGTCTTTGCCTTCGGTGGCCTTTTCGATTCAGCATCTCTGTTCCCTGCGTTTGGCTTGGGCTTGGGGGTTGGTGTCTGCGGTCGATTTGTGTTGCCAGATCCACTAGGCGCCGCTGGATCAAGAAGGGTGGGCGTCTGGAACGAGTTGGGCACAACATTCAACGGATTTGTCCTGAGCAATGCATTAAAATCAACACAATGTATGGGGAAATGTTGAGAGACGAGAATTAATTACATAGTTTCAGGCCTATAATATTTTGTGATGCTTATGCTGTCTTGCTAGTGATGCTGTGGTAAAACTGAGATATGAACATCATGCTGCCAGCATGTGCGTTGTCGATAGCGGCTTCCTTCGCAATCTCAACAGATTGGGTCACCCTTGTCGCTGATGTTTCAGACGTAGAGTTCCAGCACAGATACATTTTCAGCTCCTGATCAGCTCAGTGCAAGGTATGATATATATATACCATCGATCATATGTTTGGTGACATTAACATGTATTTTGACCATGGTTTCACTGCAAGACAGCTGAGATGGGCACCGGGGCATCAGGGTTCATCTGCCATTGTCCATCCTTTTCCTGCAGCAAATCAAGTGGTGTAATAGATCTATATATATATATATATCTATATCTATATATATATATAATATATATATGAATGATATATACAATATATATGTAGTACTACTAGCTAGTGTAATATATCTATATATATTGAAAAGCATACTCTGAACCCACCCCTGTGGTCTGTCGTGGTTTCCCTTTGTCCTTGGAGCTAATGATTCCATCGACCAAGGCCAAATTCTGATGGTACTTCTTCAGAAGGTCCTCAGAACACAGTTTCTTTCCTCAATATTATCCAGTTCATGTCGGCTGTATGTTAACAAGCAATACATATATATATACAGTTATTCCCCAAACTGATAATAATCAGCATTCAAACAAGCAACACAAATAGAACACAACACATGCACCACAACACTGTGACCAACTAGTGACTTGTATCATTAACTTCTGCAGTGCAATCAAGCTGCGTCACGAGACATCAGTGCATACTCACCTCTGCGTTCATGATCTCTCTCCGCACGAAGACTGGCCAGCAGTGTGCTGGCACTCCAGTTTTCATTGCATTGACAAAATTCTTCAAACAGCTGCCATCGTTCTTGGTGGCTCGCTTTGCCACCTCATGGTCAATACATGAAAGCAAAACCACAAGGAAACTGTGCAGCATGAGCAGCTGCTGATGTAGAACCATGTTTGTTCTGGAAGTACAACCAATTTATTCAAGGCACCTTTGGCCTTGATCTCCTTCCATTTGCTTGAAATCTCAGGTGGACACTTCTCGCCTCAGATTGCGAGTTTACCAAAGCCATGCTGACAACATATCTGTGAACAAAGTTGCGATGGCAGCAACAAAGAACAAACTATTGATATCGAGGTGCTGGTCACCGATCTGTGAAATCGCATGTAGCTGTTCCGTAAAGCAGCCTTTGCTTCTGCATCATCAGAAGCTGGGCTCTCCGAAGACTGACCACCATCTCCAGGACCAGGCAATGCAGGTGAGGCATGGGCCACGGAAGTCGGGGTTGCAACTTCTGTTGCTGGCGCAGGGCTCTCCAAAGCTGGTGGTGTTGGCACCAAAGGCTTGACTTCAACATTCCCTGCAGCATCAACAGTGAGGTCAATTGCTGCTGCAGCATGTGCCGAAGGCTCTCTCGCTGGCTTCGAACTGGCTGTAGAAACAACACTGGAGGTAGACGGAGTGACCAGCTTGACTGATGGGCTAAGTGTCAAGCCAGCCTTCACTGCAGCATCTGGTGCCATGGGGATCCAAACATCTTGAAGAACACCAGCCAACTCCATCACAACAGAGGTGTGTCCAGGCATTTCCTGGGGAGCAATGCTACGGTTCAAATCCAAGGTTGTCTTGCGCAGAAGGCAGGCATGAACATCAGACGCCTGGGGCACAAAAGATTTCATCCTTTTGCCATCACTACTCGCTTCAGAAGCAGCATCGCTGTTTGATCCACGAACATTTTCCACGTCCTTCTCAGCATTGGGTCCATCCACAGGGACAGGTTCATCAACCTTGTCAACAGGCTCGGACTCGTCTGGAAGTCTGTCAGGTTCCTCAGCAATGCCAGCAAACAAAGCTTCTTCGGCAGCCGATGTCTGAGTGGGTCCTGTAGCATCAGTGCCTTCTTCCACATCAGCAAGGCCAACATGATGGGCATGTGCTTCAACAGATTCTGCAGCAGCAACTTCTGCAGCACCATCAGCAACCAACGCCCCACTGCCACCTGCTGGAGCAGCAGGTACAGGCGTCACAGGCCGTTTGAATTTGGACCAAAAGTTCCGGTAGGCACCCACATTCTCTAAATCCTTCTGGGTTGAGTCAGAGCCATCCACAAGAGGCCGTTTGCAAGATTCACTGGCTGGTGGTGGGGAAGCTGGTGAATGGCCCTGCTGTGACTTGACAAGATTCTCCATAAAGTCACCCAGGCATGCTGGGTTTGCCAGGAACACCGGGTTCTGCGCCAATTGCATCATCGCATCATGAACCTGAAGACTGAATGTAAGAAAGAAACACTCCCTAGCATCAAACCTTCAAGAACTGTGTGAGTACAATGCTGATTGCAATGGCAAAGGTTGACTTGACACAAAAAAGAAACCTATGAAAATTCACAACAGCAGCTTTGTATTCAATATATACAAAACCAAACATGATCACTGGGTGGCTATATAGTTCGGTATAACCCCCATTATATTCATGTACTGTTAATTCTCTCCCAGGTATATACCAATTTTATCGAAAGAAACAAGTAGTTTGGCCAAGATGCATTCGGTGGGCAGGCCAATGCAGGCATTGGAACAACCTTCGAGGGCATCGCTGGCAGAGGCGGCAGCTCTGGAGGGGGCATAGCCTCGAAGCAGCATGTTGGTCATTAATATAATGTACCCCGCTTGCTATCAGATTGTAGTTTCTTGGAGTAGCAGCAACACACATCGACCACAATTATCACTGCATGTATTGTCTAAGGGCTATATGTTGAGTATATATATATAGCATTATTTTCAATATATGCATATATATATGATATGTTATATTATATAATTGAAGTAGTTATATATAGTTGACCAAGGAGCAGCTAAGGGTTCAGGGACAGCTTCATTTGGTAGTGTCTCTGCATCTTCCAAGGCCACAGTAAGCGGTCCACCTGCCCCAGCATATGATTGGCTTGTCTAGGGCTAGGTCAAGGAAACCCCTGTGGCAGTGGGTTGTGTTGTTACATGTATTGTGTTGCTACCTGGCCTGGGGACTCGTCCATGTGGGTATCGGCAGTCACCACAGCATTAGGTTCAGCAGAAGGTGTCCCAACATCTCCAAACAAGTCAACTGGCTCAACTGGCTGAACTGGCTGAACTGGCTGAACTGGTTCAACTGGCTCAACTGGGGCAACTGGTGTTGTCTCTGAACCAGAAACAGTTGAGGGTGTAGTCACAGACATGTGCCGCTTGGGATCAGGGGTCACTGTGCTCACAGAACCAGGGTTGGGACTCTTCTTCAATGGTCGCTTCGAAGCCATAGGTGGCGGTGTTGCCAATAGTGCCAATGCCCGTCTCCTTGTTCCAGCTTCCAGTGCGTTGTCCATTGCCTAAGTTGTTGTTCCAGTTAGCTGTCATGGTGTCACATTAAGTAATGTTTAAGAAAACTATCAAAAGACGTTTAGACAACATGAGTAATCTGGCACTGCTGAAACTGATTGGGGTTGTTGCCTAAGGGAATTCAAATCATAAAAGCAATTAGGCCGAGTATCTGCTTGCATATCAGTGTCCAGCGAGTCTTGACTCATGGCTAAACTAGCAAGTCCAAGGTTTTTTCTGATCAGTTTAATGACCTGGAGCCTGAAAACCTATAGGCAGTTTGGGAAATCACGCAAAATCACGCGAAATCACGCTGATGGTTTTCACATGTGAGTTTTGTTCGTGAATGTCAGTTCCTGGGGCCTACATTCATAGAAATGTAGGTCCCCAGGGGCTACATTCACATGTGAACCCTCCTGTTTTTCACGCAAAATCACGCGAAATCACGCGGCATCACGGCCATCCTGTGAAGGCCTATTGGTGGCAGCCATATGTTTCTGGCATGTCAGGAACCCCAGAAGTGGCAAATGGGAGGCAGCATGTAGCATATATCGCACTTTCAAACACCTAATTAGGTTAATATATAATTTCCAATCACCTCCCGGCATCTGGAGATTTAATTACAAATTTGAGAAATGATGCATGCATCACAAAGGTAAATTATTGGAAGGTACAAAGCGACCAGCTGCAGCTTCTTGTTTTAAGAAGTCCCTCAGCTCACCAAGTTCTGCATGTTTCCAATCAAAAGGTGGCACCTGAGCAACAACACGAATGCCAATGTTAAGACAATACGTCCATAAATATGCTGGCACACAATCAACTCGATGATCATGTTTGTGCAATAAATAGCTAACATGTAGGCATGTTGTGACTTGAATCTAATTGAACCAGGGTACCAGTGGACTCATGGATGCAAGATCAGCAGCTGATATCGGCATATCGAGTTCAGGTAGAACACCACGGTCCTTGGAGAAACTTCTTGGGGCACTGCATCATCAAGGAACTCTGGCAATAATTGCTGACACATGCTATGATTGTGCTGCACACTACAGCACCACCCAGAAGCCCGGCAAACTGTGCCAGCAGTTGGTGCAATTTGAACTATGTGGCCACCTGGACATCAACAAGATGCTGATTCTCATGAAATGCATTTAAGAATATATATATAATATATATATATATATATTTATATTATATATATAGTAATATATACATATATATATACCGCTGAACATACATACATATATATATGTGTTGACATTCAATATACATTTTTTGGTATATTATTATAGTTAAGTTATACGTACACATATTATATATTATTTTATAATATATATATATTAATAAGATATATAGTACTGTATATATATATATATACATATTATTATAATTTATAATTAGATTGTAAGTTATATATATATATATATTATTAAATATTATTATATAATATATTACTGTATGACGTAAATCATAATTCCAACTGCCAGGTTGCCATATATTCAATATGACGGCTGGCAATCCACTCAGCAAATAGTTGGGGATATTCAGCTGATCGTCGAAGAGATGGCCCACCACTCCTGGGTACAAGGGGAAGAAGAAACATACAGTGTGGGCACTGTGAGTCACTATGAAATCGAAAAGAAACCAGTGATAATATCTTCAAAATCCAATCACCTAAGCCCCCCACACTCTGTTGTTGCCTGATCTATCGATGTACTTGTTGACCATTTTCACAGTGCTATCACCAGCATAGCAAGGTAGGGCATCCTTTAAGTCCTTTGACATCTTGGATTCAAGGTTGTCAATCCATTTCCTCAGAGCAAATGAGCAGGCCGCAGGCTGGTTTAGTTCAATCCAATCCCTGTTAGTGTCCAGACCATGATCCAATTGCAGCAGTACCTTGACATATATCAATATGCGCATATATTGAGCATCCAACGGGCTTCCCAGTAGCCACGAAGGTTTAGGACTCTGGTGTCCATACAAGCCCATCCAACTTGGTTGTCCGGGATGGTTAAACTGTTACACAAAGCAACACCAACACACAGATCAGCGCAGAACAGCAGCACTAACTAGAATTGAAGTTTGAGTTCAAAGGTTTTGCATTCATGGCAGACAACTTGATAGTGCTAAATTAAATCAAAACACAATCTTCGGAAACGAGCTCGTCCGGGTCCATCCCCCATCGCCGCAATGATGTGCTGGACATAGGGGATAACAGCCAGCAAACTCGAGCCCGGCTGTTCTACCTCAGGTGGGGCAAGAGTGGCTCATTGATGAGGATGCAGACTGCATGGTTCGGAACCCTGGAACCTGAATGATTGTTTATCACTTATACAGTTGGTTCATATTATTTTACGGGGTGTATATGTATATATATATATATATTTAAACATATATATATGTAATATGGGAATATTAATGATATGCAATATAAGAACAACACTTGCAGTGCACTCACAGACTTTTTTCATCCACCGTCGAAGCCATATGTTGTGCTGTCATGACGGCGAAGTTCGGTTGCCACCCAATCGCATCATGAGTTCTGTGTAGGGATCCTGCACTTGCACCTCTTCATAGACATCATCTTCCATATCATTGGCATCACGTTGTTCAGCAAATTGCTGAGCAATGACATGACCAGGTGGTGGGCACGTCGGGGGGGCTGGAACCTTTTCTGCTTCTGCTCCGGGATGCACTGGGCTGACCCTTGGTGGTACAGGCATGGCCTTGGGCTGTGGTGGAGGCATGGACTTGGGCGGTGGCACTACATGTCCTTTTTTGGGTTTCATGGCATCATCAGAGCCACCCTCCTCATCATCATCATCATCTTCACCATTGTCTTTTTGGGAACCTTCTGGATTACCGGATTGTCCACATTGTCCATAGTAACCGGCCATCCAGGTTTCCCATTCATTCCCAGTCCATGGACCTGCATTCCATGATTGCCAGTCCTCAATGGTCCACGGTCCTTGATTCCAGCGTGACCAGTCTTCGGTGCTCCATTGTTCTTCATTGTTGTTAGATGTTGCTGGTCCTCTCCAAGAGACACTTTCAAAGATGACACCACCTCCATGATGATGGCTATCCTCCTCCTGGTTGTCGGTGTTGTTGGTGTCGTCGTTTCTGTTCCATGGTGGCGGTGATGGCGATGGATATGGTGTGTCCGGTGGTGCTTCTTTGGGTGGTGGTAATGGTGGTGGTGGTAGAGGAGGCCGAGGTCCAGCTGTCATCGGGATATATGGCATCGGCACCCTGATGTAGACAGCGTTTTTCTGAACTCCTTGTCCAAGCGTTGAGGCAATGAAAGAAGGAGGAGGTGTGTCGTAAGTCTTGAAGCCAATATAGCCCGAGTTGAAGAGGTCGTTGTTCAAGGTCGGAGGCTTCATTCTGGCCTTCAACCATTGAAGTTCCCACGCCTGTCTCTGTACCACAGGTCCGCACCACCAAGACAAGTGGTTGTGGTGGGGATTCTCAATCCCTTGATGAGGTGGCGTCTCATCCCCCTGCAGTTCCATGGTGGCCTCAGCCTGTGGTGCAGCTGCATGTGCATCATCGAATGATGGGCGGCTGCCTGAAGCCAATGGTTTTTCTTCTGCTTCTGCTCCTTCTTTGTCAGGTGGGGTTGGCACTCCATCCACGAAACCAGGCTGATCTCTGATCTCTGTTTTTTGCCTCTTGCGTTCTGGTTCAGTCTCATCTTTGTGCTCCTGCTGGCCATCCAGTGTCTCCATATGATGCCCTTGATCCCGATCCTGCGTTGAAGGTTGACTCTTGGAGTCTGTGTTGCCCTTCTCCACCTCATTTGTCGAAGATTTACTCTTGGAGCCCTTGTTGCCCTTCTCCACCTCCTTTGTCGAAGATTGACTCTTGGAGTCGTCCTTGTTGCCCTTCTCCACCTCCTTTGTCGAAGATTG